ATGGCTTGGTGATTCTTTCCTATCATCATTGAATGGAAAGAAACCATTATTGCTTACTTATTGTACACGAGGAAAAGCAAATGTATTCAACAGACAACGGCATATTAAGATGAAAAGAAAGCAAGACCTACGAAACATTTGGCCGAGTGAAATCAGTCCAGCGAAAGACCTTTTAATGATTACATTACCCTGGTAATGAATAAATCACAAAAATTTTCGACTATTTTTTTTACACAACTAAATTATTTAACCATTCCTTTGCCCTAGGTACACTGACAATCAACGCGCTCAAGACTCCATCAACTTAACTTTATTCCACTGGGGAATTCACGGATGGATTGTGTACGTTGTAGTTGGCCTTCTCCTTGCCTTTGTAGGATACAGACAAGGGCTTCCCATGACAATGCGCTCCTGCATGTACCCCCTCATAGGTGACAAGATTTATGGATGGATGGGCGACGCCATCGACATAATATCAGTGGTTTGTACCATGTTTGGCGTTTGTACAAGCTTGGGACTGGGTGTTATGCAGCTCAATGCCGGTGTCCATCGCTTAGAAAGTTCAGTAGAGGTCAGCACCTTGAATCAAATTATCATTATCTGGTGCGTAACGGCCTGTGCTACCGTCTCGGTCATCAGTGGACTAAAACTGGGCATCCGACGCCTAAGCGAGACTTGTTTTGCCTTAGGCGTGTTCATTATGATGCTCGTGTTCTTCTTTGACTCTCCATGGCACACACTGAACTTGCTCGTCCAGAGCACTGGTTATTACATGCAAACTGTTATCCAACTTGGCTTCCACACCGACGCCTTTGCTCAACTTGGAAATGCACCTGATGGCAAGGAAAATCCTGGGTGGATGGACGCATGGACCATTTTCTACTGGGGATGGTGGATTGCTTGGTCACCCTTCGTTGGCATGTTCATCGCAAAGATATCCAGAGGAAGAACCATTAGACAGTTCATCAACGCAACACTCACCGCACCAGTGGCCTTCTCAATCTTATGGTTCAGCGTTTTTGGAGGAGCAGGACTTAAAATGGAAAGAGATGCTACTCTGGCCAATATAACATGTGACTTACCTAAGGGCGGAACAAACGCTACCGAATCTCTGAACGGTTTATTCCGCCTGTCCTGTCGTGATAAGAATGACATGTGGTTCGATGTAATGAGCCAATATGGAGACATGGGAAGTTTTCTTTCCGTGCTCTCCTTGATCGGCATTGTCCTTTACTTCGTCACAAGCTCTGACAGTGGTTCACTCGTTATAGACTGCCTGTCAGCCAATGGCGACCCAAAGCCACCAGTCCTACAACGAGTCTTTTGGGCTCTAACAGAAGGTGCTACAGCCACTGCTCTTCTTTACGTCGGAGAAGAAAAAGCACTGAATGCCTTGCAAACAGTTTCTATCGCGTCTGGAGTGCCATACACAATCATGCTCTGCTTTATGTGCGTGGCACTATGGCGGGCCGTCAAAGTAGAGGCTGGAGACCTGGATCCTAACGGTCCACAATTCACCACTGGACTTCTGGATGTTTTAAGTATCCCAACCGTCGAGAGCGTATGTAAAGTAATCATCAGCATCTTTGCTCCCTGGTACTCCATGGGAACTGCAGCTGGAATGGTAGAGAAACCAAATGGTAGAAAGTGGACCCATATGCTGATCATGGCGCTACCGTTCTACGCTTGTATTTCCATGCTGGTTCTGGAACGCCTCTACGTTTTTTCAGGGATCTGCTACGTTGGATGGACTCTGCTTTTTGGTTTCTTCGCCTATGCTACCGGGGTACGCAACTCGATCCGCGAGAAATACGAAATCAACGGAAACGTAGCTGAAGACTTCTTCGCAGTCATGGTGTTATATCCATTTGCTGCTTACCAGATGGAACACCACATGAAAAACCATAAGCCGACGAATCATATCCAAAATGGACACTGTCTACCTGAGTCATGTTGTATACCTCTCGGAGAGATGGAAAAACTAATGGATCCAGATGCTAGAAAAACGGACGTATAATGTTTTTAACTCTTAGTATAGATATCATTTTATGGGACTTATAGTATAATTAAAAAATTTTAATTTAAAGTTCTTGTTCTGTTTATGATCAATTTTAAGGACAAATATCATAAATTATAATCTTCATAAGACAACAGGAAACGACAACTTTGAGAAGCTTTGCACGGAGATTGCTAGGGCGCACAATTTTCCAGCAGCTTGTTGAATAATATGTAAATATTTAATTTTATTTAAAATTTTGTAGGTAAAAATTTTATTTTTCGCATGTTTTAACAGTAGCTCCGCTAATAACACATGACTGCAAAGTGTTGCAAAGCACAGTAAAGCATTTTGATATGGAGAGTGCGCTGTACAAATGCATCATTTTCGTTATCTTTATATTTAGGACGATGGTCACCTTTGATCTTTAAAAATAATGCGATGTAAGTAAATTTGCACATCTACAACTATTAGAGAATCGGCGACTGCTGTAACCTCAAAAGGTTGCCTAAGCGGCTGAGTAGACAATTCGAACGCATATAGAATGTGAAGCGATCTTTAATGATTTTAGAAGATAGCGCTGAGACGTAGGTTGTATAGGTGGTATGGTATGGTAAGGAACTCAGAGAAAATACAACAGAAACTAAACTGCGTTGCGAAATGTTACATTAACCTAACTTAAAATGAAGCAATTGCACAGAAAGATGAATACGACAACAACGCCAATAATACAGACAAAAGTTAAACATCGTAAATGCAGAAGAGATAAAGACTTACTTTGTTCAGCTCCTAATGATAGCACATAACTGACAGCGATAGCATCTAAGAACAAACTGATATCTAGTAACAATGATCGAAATCCAATCTCTTATACACGTCTTTGAACAAACTTATTATGTAATAATCATTAACTAACGAAAGGCTGAACAAAACGATAATAAAGAGTTTACTAACTAAGCGTTTGGAAACTAACAACTGCATCAACTGAAGTGACATTTTGAATTAACGATTCAATGACTGTTTATAGTAATATTTATGGAAATGAAACCTACCTGGCTGACATGTCCAAGGCTGCCAGTTTCGAGGGTTAGAGTAGACTATAGATTATCACTTTTTGGTTAACGGTACGTTAACCAGGTTACAAATGTACTGGATACCGCCGAACTTTCACTCAAGTGTTATCAGTAATTTCGCCCAAAAGGAAATGAATGAAGGGGAATCTCACTTTATGTACATGTACTTGAAATTCGTACCCTTATCAGCGTAAAAATGTTCGTTGATAGCCCTATAATGGAGTAAATGAAGGGAAATTCGGTTTTATGTACTTGAAATTCATATTCTCTTATTAGCCAGAAAATGTTCGTTGATAGCTTTTTAGTGAAGTAAATGAAGGGGAACTCCCGTCGCATGTACTTTAAATTCGTGATGTTCAAATGTTCGTTGATAATTTTAGCCACATAATTATCAACCAATTTTCATATCTGACTTTTTTAAGTAGCCTTACTTGGGTCCAATTTTTCGGCTTCTTTGTTGATCCACAATAGTTCATGTTAGAAAAAGGTGCAAGTGAATACATGAAATTGACCTGGTAAAATGCGAGGATCATTTTTTAAGTCTTTTAAAAATATTGCTAGAGGCAATTGATTCTGAGATACTGAAAAAGAACAGGAACGTAAATTAATGAGTTACAAAGTTACTTACTCAAAAAACGGCTATGGATTCCCGAACAATTCAGATTGTTCATTGTCAGCCGTGACTTTTTCATCTACTGTACTGCTTTCTAAGTAATTTTATGTACATCAACATGAACCTAAACCTCGTTTTTTACTAATCATGTTTCCTCGAATAAGTGCCCTGGCACTTATTTAAAGTTTCGGCTGAAAGGATGGGTGCTCATTGGAGGGAGGGCGTGTAATCAAGGGGTGTCTCTTTGGCACAACTATGGGACAAAACTAAGAGAACAGAGAACGCACACTAAGGAACTCTTCAAGCACATGGTGATAGAAATAACTGGAACGAAAAAGAAACTATTCTCCTGTTCTGAGTTCTCTGAAGTTAAAGCTCAAAAAGGTGTAAATTGAGTGGCAATAGAAACCGGTTTTCCGTGTATCCCTACTGATTAAAAAAGTGAGGAAGGGTTTAAGGGGGATGATTACTTAAGCGGGACGCGTGGTTGATGTTATGGCTTAGTAAATGGGCGCTTAATCAAGCGAGGGCGCTCATTTCATGAAATTCTGTAATAAATTTTTTTCGGAGTTATTTTGGCACCGTAAGCGCTTTTTTCTTCACTCTTTATCAGAGGAAATGTAAACAGATGGTATCACTCGCAACCAAAACATAACAAAAAAAAAAAAAAACGCTTACCTAACTATGTCAAACATTGCAGCCACTGATTCTTAGCCAGAAGCAAAGAAAAAGTTACCGTCAGAGTTTTAGGCGAACAAGGAATGAGTACCTCACACTCCTCTATGTGTTTTGTAGGCGGTACATGCGTGTTTTTCTGAGAAATAACCGTAGAGTTACATAGCGTACAATTCTGACATGGGTCGATTGCGTGACTAATAGTCACGCTCTGAAGGGCATGAATACTGCAGTCACGAGATACTCACATGAGGAGAGTCTGAACTTCAAGCCGCATGGCATTGGAAGACAATTTCACTCACGGTAAACTGAATTGTAAGTCGCTGTTATGGAGAAGTTTTTAGTCCAATGCCTCTTGCTCTTATCTGTTATTTCTCGTACCACATGTTTCCAAACCGAAATATCTTACAAGATCCGCGAGTATGTGCGTGAACATCAACATTCGCTGTACGCTCGACACGATCCAATCGAAGAATTCACATTGGAACAACCACTGGATCACTTTGAGCCGTCACAGAAGACATTCAAACAACGTTACATGGTAAATACTAAGTACTGGAGAAAGGAAGATGGACCAGTCTTCTTGTACATCGGAGGAGAGGGAAAATTATCTCAAGCTGATATAGACTATGGTAGGATTAATCTGTTTCAAAGCTATATTGAGCTCTGGTATTTTTCCAAAACTTCCGCCTAAATGCATGGCATGTTGCAGTCTGTATTCTGCACTGCTAGTTTACGAGTTTTATTTAAAACTAGTCCATTATAAAACCTGAAAAAGGAGGCAGTGAGAAACTAGCAGGTTTTTGAAGCTATTCGTTTCGTCGAGAAATAATAATACTTAATTATCTGAATAAACGTTTATAGAGTAAACAATATGGTCTTTCACTTTGACTGCTTAAAGTGAAACTAAGAAAATGTCCCTTCAAGCTCCAGGTTATTACAGGTATCATTCGACAAGAGCGCTTCATTTTGTTACCCTCGTGAGCTGGGACTTCCCTCAAAAGTGGAGTCAGCTTAGAGTGCAGTTTTGCGGGCGCCGTTTGACGAAACTGAAGGCATTACAGTCGCGAAAATGTCATGACATATTTTTCAAAGTAATGTCATGGGTGGGTGAGTTGGGGTGAGGGGTTCAGACTCGGGTAGGGAGGGAGGCTGTCTACGGAATTGTCTTGTTCCTGAAAATTATTTTTCTATCAAAGTAGTATACTCTGCAAATTTTTTAGGGAATATTGTGGAACTGGCTGAGCAGTATGGTGGCCTACTCTTTGCGGTGGAGCATCGCTATTACGGTTTAAGCACTTTTGAAGACTATTTAGAAACAGAGAACCTCAAATATCTTTCAAGTCAGCAAGCGTAAGTAATATAAGGATAAATAAGCGGTATTCTGTGAAAATTACAGTTATCCTAAGCAATCATCTTAAGCAATCAGGGTATCAAGTTTTTCTCTCCTTAGAGCTTGAGTTTGATCGCTATCTAAAGCTCATATTTTGAGCTCGATAATTCTATTACATTTAAAAGTCGAGAGCAAAGAAATCAAATTTTATTATTTCGAAACGACTCGTCTGTTTGAGGGCTGTTGGAGACGTCCCGAATTTTTCATAGAAGCTAGGTATACTTAAATAAGTTACTGCACTGAAAAAGTTGTCATTCCGTAGAAAACCACTTTTCCTACTGAGAAAGATCCATACATTCCGAATGTTTCTCTACAGGTTGGCAGACTTGGCCGAGTTTTGTGTCTTTGCCCAGAAGATGTACAAACTTACTGACCTGAATCAGTGGATTGCATATGGCGGTTCCTACCCGGGCAATCTAGCAGCTTGGTTCAGATTAAAGGCAAAGTTTCGTTAAATTCTCCTCCTCAAGACCAATACTTGCTTCTAGTTGACCTTTTTCGCATTGCCGACTTAGCAGAGAAAATTTATTCGACTACGCACATCGGTTTATAATTTTTAGAGTTGTGTTTGCCCCGCTGTGCAACTTAGAAATGGCGTGGAATTTAGAAATATGGGAGAACAAAAATGTTACGGCGGGCACAACCTCGCTGCACATCGAGAACACATGAACAGCACTGGGAAAGCAACAGGTTACAAAGCCGATCGAAGACTCACGCATTACAGAACATTAGCCCCCCTCTAAACTGGTAGTTAAGAATATAAACAATCCTCATTTCTTCTAAGTGGTTCATCATCATTTGTGTTTTATTCCTACACAGTATCCTCATCTTGTGATAGGAGCGGTTGCGTCATCAGCGCCCGTGCAGGCAAAGACAGACTTTCAAGACTACAACAACGTAGGTTATCTGACTTCTAAACTTTGATGTTACTAAAAGTAATTCAGTTGTTGTTGGCCGACCGCATGACATTTCAGTAAGATGTGTCATGGCTAGTCCAAGCGGCAATTTTGGGGCCAAATATGAACGAATACGAGCAAATTAAATGGAATGGAAAGTTAAAACTAGAGCTCGATTGTTGGTTCCTGAAACCCCACACAAACAAAAAAAAATATGTAACGAAAAAGATATCGAAAGGAGGCATGTCTGTAATAAATGTACAAGCCGCAATACTTCCACTCGGAACCATTGCCCAAATAATTTTCCTCCTTGTGAACAAAATTTCATGTTTCATTGGCGATTTAACGACACATTGAAGCTGAGAGGTGCGAAAGCTGGCCAATCCCTCCGACAACTCTGCGGAACTTGGACCGATTTCGGTATCTCAAATGAACTAAGAGCTGCGAGTATTAGGAACTGTTTACAATCACTTGGATCAATATTATTATCCAAAAAGTCTTTTCAAAACTTGCCTGGAGTTTAGTGCAAGGTATCTTTTTTACGCGAACGTTTTTAGAAAACAAAAAATCGCTATTCAGTCCGTTAATAATCTTTGTAACCATATGTCCCTATCTATCTCTAGGTTGCAGCTGCAAGTTTCGCGTCACCCCTTGTTGGTGGGTCTGTGCAAGTACGTTTTGAGTGGTTTAAAACATTGTAGGATGGATCGTGCAACACGACATACAATAATTTAAATGCATCAGCCCATTTCAAAAATATAAACAAATACATCAGTACTGTGTTTTACCATACCCGAAGCTTGAATTGTGTTCAAATAAAAAAGATAGGTTATTGCTTCTCCAGCGCACTTGCCGCGCGAGATCTTTTCCTGTTTTGTACAGGTATTCCGATGATTTCGGGTGCAATTTTGAAGTAAATTTTTTCAAAGACTAACAAATTTGCACGAGCCCGCAGGGCCGTGCAATTTGTGGTCTTTGAAAAAAATTATAAGTGCTTATTTATTCCAAAATTGCACCCGAAATCATGTGATTACGTATTAACAATATACATGAAAAAATACGAGATAGCTTATCAAAGCGGCGCATCAACTGTTATTATTTATGGCAAACCCTGCAAGTGACCTTGTGCGTTCGGTCAAGACAACCGCGTACGATCAAAACAATAATATAAAATGATATTTTCACATCTCAAAGGCGCACAAAAGTTCAAAGTCCGGCTAAACAGTTCAAGGAATTGTTCAGTCTGATTTGTTACTTCCTTTCACCGAATTAACCCTCTTCTGCATTGAATTACTTGAAAACTGCATTTATCTCAACCAATCAGAACTGAGTAATTTTTTAATGTATCTTATTAGGTACGATATACCTTGAGTTAGGTGATGTCCTCTCGCTTTCTTTTGCAGTGTCAAAACAATATAATGAAAGCCTTCGCCCATGTGGACCAGCTGATTGCCGCCAAGGATTACAAAACTTTAGAGCACGACTTCTTGTCATGCAATGATATTTCACGGCCGAATGACACTTGGCTGTTTGTCGAGAACCTTGCTAACGTTTTGGACGGAATTGTGCAGTACAATACTCAAGCTTCTGGTTTCAACATAGCATATGTGTGTCAATGTATGACAAATTCATCCCTCACTCCTTACCAATATCTTGGTTATGTGATACGTGTAAGGATATTTTGGTATTCTATTTTAGCGGCGAATTTCACTAACTTACATGCTGATGAAATGTTATTTTGCTTTCTTGGAGGTTTCCAATACTCTCGACATCTCGATTCTCGAGAGCAGATGATCGTAAACTATAGGCTGTCCGATTGGACATTGTTTAGCATCACTTGATTAAACTTGATCCCTTTTTACGTGGAGATAGCACTAAAGAACCCGATTAGATTTTAAAATTCGTAGGTATCATTCCCCGTTCGATGGACTAAGTGTTGGCAGTGAAGAGCGGTTACTTTCTAATCACTCCTGACTGTTACGGAGGAAGAAGGAATTCTCTGTTATAAAAAATGTTGTTGTTATTCGTATTTTTATAGATAAATGAACGTGTAATCGTTTGTCTCACGATGTAGATTCAGGCTATCAATTGTTTTGATCGGTACAAATCCTTTCCATATTCATTAATTTCAAGAGTATATCTTTGACCTTGTATGGAATGGTTGTATTTTTGCAGTACTATCTAGATCGTGTGAGACTTCGCTGCATGAATAATAACTATACAGCATACTTGGAAATATTCAAGAACACAACACAGGACCCAACAGGCTCTTCAAGTTTTCGCCAGTGGACCTACCAAACTTGTACTCAGTTTGGATACTGTAAGTTCCAGTTGATTAGTTACCACAGATTTCTTGAGTTGGCGGATTCTGTTCTTAAGCGCCGCTCTCGCTAAGAGTGTTCTTCTCGACTTCTCATCAGAAAAAAGGTTTCTTTGATTTTTTGCCCATGAAAAGGGTTTAGGAGACGTGTTTAAAAAAATTCACCAATTTGTACGAAAGAATTCTAAAAATCAAGGCGTTAATCGGTCTAAAAAAGTATATCAGTGCATAATTTATACCCTTTATAAGAAGACCTAAGAGCCTTAGGCGTCTCACATTTATAACGCTGATAACAGTCACTATTTAGAAAATTACGCCTAGTTTCTGCCACTACGTCCACTTTACTCGCACAAATAGACTACAAATGTTCATTTGATTATCAATGTTGCATCTTGTTTTAGATCAAACATGCGAGAAGAATACCAGCTGCATTTATTCTAGAATCCCACACGACCTTGCTTATGATCTGGATACTTGTCTTGAGGCTTATGACATCCCTGCTCAGGATATTTATGAAAAAGTTGCATTTACAAACGCTTACTACGGAGGAAAAACGCCCAAAGGCTCAAAGATTGTTTTTGTAAACGGTAAGAGATTTAAAGTTTTAGATTATGAAAGGGATCCGGGAAAGCTCATTAATGTTGCGTTGTTGTTGAAGGCTTCAACAAGTTTTATCGAAAACCGAAGCATTAGTCATGAAATACATCTGTTATGTAAAAGGCAAGAATTACTTCTAAATTTCTACAATGTAATCAAAATATTCATGCATTTATATAGCGCATACGAATGCTCTAATACACTTTACAACAACAGGTCTTTCTGTTAGTTCTCCAGGACCTATTAGTACTCCTGGGTAGAGAGCGCAAGATGTGAGAGTGATGTGTCTATTGGCCCTGGAGAGAGAGTCAGTATACTAAATAATTAAGACAATTGTTTTTGTTCCGTTTTCCGTTGCAGGATCTATAGACCCTTGGCATGCATTAAGTGTCCTAACGAACCAAACTGCAACTGAAGTGGCCATTTTTATCAATGGCACCTCCCACTGTGCTAACATGCTTCCTGATTCACCTGATGACCTACCCGCCTTGCGTGAAGCTAGGAAGGTTTGATACAGTTTATTGCTATCACATAGCTTAAGATCATGCGGTTTTTGTCTACCATTCACGCAGAAAGTAACCTATTAAGTGTCTACGAAGGTCACATTCTTTGTCTCATTCTGCGAATATCCTGTAATAGTTTCTGAATTTATCCCTCTTGGAAGAATATCCCGAAAAAACTCACGCTTATTTGTCATCTTTACGAACCGCTTTTAATTTAAGAACGAGGTAAGTTAATTATAATATGCAAGAGCTGTGTAAATCTCTCTTTTATACAGCTTTTATCTTGCTTTCTCTGAATAGTATCGTGACCAGTCTCTGCCATTGGCCAAATAATCTTTAGTGGCAACCAGTAACCACTAAAGCACATAGAAACAAGTGGTGGCTTTTTATTTCTGTTTTTACACTGAACGACTTATTTGACGACAAGAATTTGTTCACGACCCTCATAGATCAATTTTTACTTTTATTTTCAGCAAGTTGCAGCAATTATCGGCGAGTGGTTGGAACCTAGCCGATCTACTTTGGATTAATCATGTTAAGCCGACTGATATCGTTTATCTCCTGATATAATAGTTACTTTCTATTCAACGAAACAGAAATCATGATTTTGTATCTTTGAGAAGTAGAAGTAGGGTCAGTTGAGTCTTGGGTCGATCTTTGCAACTTTCCATTGTTCTTACAATTTAAGCAGCCGGAAGGGCAACTGACAAGATAATTGAGTTTCATCAACTGAGTTGATAATGTAAATTGGCCACCATATAGAGATACTAAAGCTGATGCTTTTCTCATAAGCCTTTCGGCCTTCGCTTTGTCGAGGGGCTAACGATCTGAACGTCAGGTTTCGAATCTCTTTATAAAGGCCAATTTACAATTACACATTACAGTTTCTTTAGAAAAATACCTCCTCTGAATACCTACTGAACTGCGTATTTATTGAGAAAAGTCAACATTGAATTCCATTTCAGGAGCAAAAATTAGAAGCACCTCTAAAATGGTGGCTAAAAATACAAACTAAATGTCATTTTCTCAGGCGATAGAATATACAGCCCCAAATTAGGATAAGCAGCATTTCATTTCTACGCCTACAATATTACAGTGAGCGTATTGTTGTTTCAGTCAAGGAAATGTAATCGTTAATATTAAAATATCGTATAAATTTGTCTTGTAAGTACAAACGAACCTGAATTAAGCGGTCACCCTGCAATCAGCGGTCGGTTGTCAAAGTGCCCCAATTTTTTCCGCTCTTGTACTTTAATTTAATTTCCACCTCTATTTGTTGTAATCTCTTCCACCTGTATTGAACCGTCTCGTTTAAAGTGGAACCACTCATTTAAAACTGAGAATAATTTCTCAAATAAAGTTACTACATGTGGTTTATCTCCCGGAGTCAATGTTAGTACTTGAGTTCAAATGTCCTCAACCCATTGCAGGGGTTTGACTTCTGACTGTTAAGACAAATTTTTATACTCATGGTTTGGTTGGGGTGTAATAATTTACAGAGCTCTAAACACCAAAAAAAAAAATCTTCATTACCTCAAAGATGTCTCAGTTTTTTTACACCAACACTTTATGAGTATAGACCGTTTTAGTGTGTGCTTTAAATTCCCATCCAAGTTAAATTACTATTCAAACAAAGCATATAATTTTATTCATTATAACAGCTTTGTCGTCACCGTCAGGTGGAGATCGGTTGGGAGTTTCGATAGAAAGCTGCTTCCTATATATGTCTGCATTGCATTCAAGGGCTTCATTGTTCAAAGGACGTTTCGAGCTCAACCAAACATACTCAGAACCAAACCTCTGCGACATGTGGACTGAAGATGATGGAATAGCATTCATCGAAAAAAAAAAAAAAAAAAAAAAGAGGCTTTCCAATCTCGCTGTCATAGCCGTGCTTCTAAGAGCTGTTTTTTTGGCTCTATGATTGATCTTTCGGGGAAAAGTAGCTTGTTTGTAGACGAGTGAAAACCAAAAACAAAATTTTAATCTTTCTTATCCCTTTATTCTTCTAACCCAAAGAAAATACATTTTTTTTCATTTGTGATGTGTCAGTAATCTAACGTGGACATCCTTTAATTGTTCTTCATATTTTTCAAAACCCAATCTTTTAGGTGACGCACTTTAGCGTAAACTCCATACTTGTTAGGCAACGCGCAACCGTATCCCCAGCTGGTAGCGCCCTCGAGATACCATTTACCATTGAATTCACACACCATAGGTCCGCCACTATCACCTTGGCAGGCATCAATTCCTCCAATGTCAAGACCAGCGCAGATCATGGACTCATGAATATTTGAATCACCGTAGGCCCTCTTACATTTTGCTTCAGAAACGATTGGTACCGAAGCTTCTTGAAGGTAATCTGGCTGTTCACCCCCGCTTTTTAGCGTTCCCCATCCTGTTATATAGCATTTCTTGTCTGGCATTAGGAGCTGGTTTTCGTCAGGCAGACATACGGGTCTTGCATCTGGGCCGATCGTCACACTGTTCTTCAGTTTAAGCAGCGCAATGTCGTTCTGGAAATTGTCAGGGTTGTAATCCTCATGCTCAAATTTTTTCTCCACTTCTATTTCTTCCCCGATGTCCGTAATGCGGTGAGCACCCATCCTACAGAGCAATCAAAAGTGCATGCTTTAACAGGATGGACCTTATATGAGCAACACGTGCATCTAGGAGGCCGACGATCGATGTCCAATATGCAGATTAACAAAACTAATAAGGAGAGCTAGTAAAACTTAACCGCTCTTAGTTTTACTCGGTTTCCTAGCGGTTGCTAAAGTTAATTACCCCCGCGTTATTCTCGCAAGGCAGCTCGCTACACAATGGACAAATGTACTTTATAGACATCACGTGACATTGATCAAATTTCACAGCTTCATAGATTACCATATTCAAAAGATTTCATACGCGCATGATGCAGAAATGTAAGGGCTCTGTATAGCCATGCATTAACTAAGCCTCCAGTTACATTATAGTGGCACGCGAGTTTTCTTAACTCAATGATCAGTAACGCCTTAATAATTGGCTCTTCTAAACAACTGGACTGAAGCATGTAACCAAAGGATACTAATTAATTAAAAGGGCAAACCCGAATAACCTCTGAAAAGTTAACATTCTTAGATCGAATTTGCTGCGCACTTTTTCATAGTTCCTTGCATGTATTTTCTGAGGTTGGCAGTGAACCTTTTTATTCGATCTTGCGAAACAATGAATTTTTATTTGGGAAACCTTGTTTTGAGGGCCTCAATCTAGTCTAAAATGAGCAATCTTAAATTTGTCGTTCTTTAATTTCCATACTCTTCCACCACTCTGACTAATACCATATTAATTTTTGTTCAAAATTCAGTCACCAACCTTACAACAATGCGATCCTCTGAAGAACCATAAACACAATGAGCGGCTGTCAACACCCAGTTTTCTTCAACGAGAGATCCTCCACAGAACTGGCTTCCACCACGGGAGGCTAACATAGCTTGCCATGGCCAGCTGCCCTTTTCGGCCGTTTGACCACCAACTATACGTGACATGGGTGGCTTAATCCCGCATTTGAGGGCTAATTATTGAATGAAAAAAAGATGTCCATATACGTTAATGTCATTAACTGCAAACACACAGAGAGACGCTTATCAACGAAATATAATTCATACACAGCACTTACATCCAAACTATGTATTAAAATACTGAACGAAACTGTTAAATTTTCTCTATTTGAAAGCTGTAGTTTTGGTGTGGTGTTCGGAAAAGTCTAATACCAAATCAAACAACGCGGTTGCTGCGTGTTCGGTAATTTCACTGCTTCTTTGGCAAATAATCATCAACATTCAGGATGTATACCTGAACTTAATTTTCACTTTTTTCTTGGTACTTTATGAAGCTACGCAGTTTAATAGGAGATTCTATGGCAGAGGTACAGAGATCACAGATACACCTCAGGGCCAGTTCATGTAAGACGTCAGGCAGGAGACGGCTGAGAAGAGGGCGATTAAAAAATGAAGTTATACTTTTCCTCAGAATTTCCTGAGTAACTTAATGTGTTAACCCTATCTAACGGCGCCAGATCTTTACCAGTACTACACGTGAATACAGCACTGAGTCCCAAGTAGGCTTGTGAATTATTTGCGGGTTTCAGCGTCGTTATTTAATTTTGCATGTGAAGGTGTAACTTTTGAAAGGTACAAAGTCTCAAAAAGTATATGCAGAGCTATTGTTCTGCTCAAACTTTTTTCGCTTCATCTTGGTTGCGCCACTGTTAGGGAAGTCATCGATATTTCCAGGAAGAATTGTTCTCTTGAATCATACCTGATGATGATCCTCCTCCTGATGACCCACTGGATGTAGTTGCTAAGGGAGGGGTAGTAGGAACTGTCGTCGGAACTGTTGTTGGTTGTAAACGAAAAGAAATGTTTCTTTAATGAATAAGACAGACAAAACTTAAAAATATATCATGGGCCTTTAATAAACTCTGGTTCTGGTGCATACTTTACATATTTAATCAAAAAATTCCACCAAAAACCGTCACAAGTGAAGTTTGGAAACAATATATTCATTCCAACTGAATTCATTGGACTACAGATAAAAAGGGAAATAGAAAATTTTAGGCTGTGATATTTCGTGTAAAGTTTTGCATGACCTTAACGCGTTGTTCACCATCCTACTTTGCTGCTTCATACGTTGGAAATTTAATGGGAGAAAAAGGTCCCTGAGGCTTGGCCATGGTTTTTCCAAGGGAAGTGGGGTCACACTGTGTCAAACAGAGGGTACTCTCCAGATTGTCATTTCGACCTCTACGCCGTGTTTTACAAAATGTCTTGATGCGTTAAAAACAAGGGGGCACGGGCACCCCAGGACCGCCCCTTAGCTACGCCCCCTGGGCCCGGTCTCATGAATTAGGTTACCTTCAAGACAATTTCCCCACTGTCCGTCCCTGTCATAGGAATCCGTGAGACTGCACCATTCTCTATTCCAGCCATAAGTAGTACAACCATAAAACATATAACCGTCGAAAATAAACGGAAAATGACAGCATTTCCCGTTCTCAGTCACACGACTGCAATCTAAATTACAAAAGATAAAAGTAACACAAGAAAAAAAATCAACGAAGTACCCAAACAGTAGGATACCCGAAAGGGTAGAACACAAAATCTCTCAGAAATTTCGTTTCTGTCCCTTAAAACCTTTGGAATATGAGAAATTCAATCGTTAGCGCATGAGTCAACAAGAATTCTAAAGGACTGATGTGGGTGGTTACACTTGATAACGTAAACGGTCTCTATTTTCCATACAGTGATACTTTCTGAATGTTACAATGAAACTGCCTTTCGCGAGAGAAAATAAGGTCTTAATAAACTTTTAGAATATACAAACCATTTGCAGTAGAGAATGTAATCGCCGTAAGCAATAAGATTGCTGAGATCTTCATCTTTTGTTTCATTTGAGTGGGTTACGTTGGCTGATGAGAGTAGGTACTATTAGGAAGAGGGATAGGTTTTATAGCCATCGCTCACAACTTAATGGATAATCGGTATGTTCAGTTTGTTTTCAGACATTTCCGATCTATTAGCATTGTGTACCTACATGAGTGAAATTACCCCTTGCCGCCACTCAAAGATAATGGGTTTGATTTACTGGAAGTACGTTTATCAAATAAAAATCGCTCGATGTTCCATAAGCGGGAATGGGATAGTCAGAATATTTCTTGAACAAAAAGTGAAGATTCTTATCACACCATTTTGGTTTTAAAGGCCTTTAAGTGAAGGAATATGGTTTGAGCTCTTGGTTATTTTGATTGCTAAGATGTGTTAATCTTCACATATCAGAATGACACTCAATTAAAAATGTTTGTTGCATTTAAATATCATCAAGGTTATGTTAACATCCATTTTTAAAAATCGTGGTCCATTTGAGTTTTGCTTGTATTTTAGCCTTACTTATTCACACGTTTTCTTCAGCTTTGTAAACAATGCTTAGTGAAATATTCTGTGTCTGTCCATTTTCCTTCATGAACTGGCTCTTTATTTTGACTTTCTATTCATTTCTCCATTTTTCTTTTCATATTTTTGTCATTGTCTTTTCCTGAATCCTGTTCTGTCAACAAATTAATATATGAAAATTTTGCTTTTGCTTTTCCAAAATTTGCATTTAAAACCCGAGCCGTATGTGAACAAAAGGAAAGAGGCATGCCTCTGTTTTTCTTTTAACTGCAACCAAGATAAAGAGTGGAGGGTGGGGTTCCCATTATGATCATCTTTATTGTTGTTGTTATTATTATTGTTATTATTACTATTATTACTATTATTATTATTAATATTATCATTATTGCCGTTACTGTTACCATTACCCCTAACCATTGTAATTGTTGTCCTTATCATACAAAGACTTGCTTATTTTAAGGGTGGTCACTTTTTTTTATATCCCTGTACATATAATTATACGTATATTTCTGACCAGTTTTTGCAGTGGCCTACTGTCAGTTTTTCAAGTATTAAATCGGACACTCATGTTTTCACACAATGACTTTTCCGTAAGGACTTGCAGCTGTATGTTAAGAAGAAAAAAACTTTAAGTAAACACTAAATTCATGTATTCCTAGTAGGCTCACGTTTTTGTCATCCTTGTAAGCATATGATCAAACAGGCAGTGCCAATCTATTGTTACTCTTTTTGATGGTGCTTCGTATTTTAACGGGATGTTTACAATTGATAATGGACCTTCCCCCTAACATAACATCACGTAAAACCCTCTAAACATTTTAAAATCACTTTTTTGTGCGATTTTGAATTATTAAGGCTACAATTTCCACTTGAAGGCGACGAAAAACTGTTTAAGGGATCGTTTACACTACTGATGAGGACAGCGAAAACCCATGAAAGGTCTATCAAAGTCACCAAATTAGCTCTTTGAGAAAATCGTTACGACTTAAGGACATTAGATATGTCGTTCAACTGCAAAATGTTAGAACTTAGTTTTATCTTGCTTAGATCTAAGAAACTAAATAGTTATAAAAGAGCGTAAAACACAGGGCTTAGCCGAAAGAGCTGCGACTATTTTTTAATGTACGAAGACTTACTAAAGGTCTTGGGAAATGATAGATTTTCCAAAATATGAAAATTATTGAAATGCTATTTCAAACTTGTCAAAATCTTTTTCAAACAAAAACAGAGCAGGACTTTGCTTTAAATCTTGGATTTCTTTGATCCATAACTAGCAGGTTCACTTCTGGTGCTAGTAAAACAATCCTTCGTTTAAGGAAAGCTCTCTGCGTATGTGTCCTCCAAACGATGTTATACGATCGCCGAGTGCGAACAAGGCGTGGTTGAACATTTCCAACTATATAACCTGGCTTTTTCTACAATACAAAGGTGTTATGAACATGGATAAAATTTCAGGAAATTGGAAATGAAATGAGTGGGATAATAACTAAAACCAGAGCACATTTTGTTTGTTTTTGATTAAAAGTTTCAGTTGTAGAGGATGGGGATCGTGCCAGACGATTAATTGTTACGAGAAAGCAATCTTTGTAGAGTATGTCTTGGTGACTATGGAAATGGGACGGTAAATCAGTGTTAGGGTTTTTTAAATATACCTGTGCTTTAGTCACAAACTGCATGTATCAAACTATTAGTGATTATGAGAAAGCTATCCTCGTTGCATTTTTGGTGACTCTGGAAATGCAACATTAAATCAGTCAGCCGATAAGTTTTTTCCATGCACGTTCGAATTCTGTCGTATCTGTCATACTATTTGTGCTACAGATAATTTAGTGTTAGCAACTGAGTTGAAAACGTAAATTAGC